ATCTTAAACGTTACCAGTATTTGTTCTCGGGAGCCACGATAACACGTCTTGCTTCGTACATTCCAGTAAAAACTGAGGCTGTCCAGGCACAAAAGCTGTGAAGATATGAAACTGTTCAGCAGATCCAATCCAATATATGAGGTTAGCTTTCCACTTTATATACCTATGTGGTTAGCTCAAGAATTAAGTCATGATTCTTCAACATTTTTAACATTTAAAACATTCCTGTCTCTTCTTAGATCTTCAGATATCCATTTTTCAAGTATGAACCCAAATACATTAGGCATACAGACTAGAGCAGAAACTGGCAATAATAATTTAACACAATTATTTGGAATTGTACTTACTAGGCCAATTTAAAATTTGCTACATAATGCATTTAATGAATGGATCAATGAAATTAGGGAAGTTTTCTAAGCCACAGAGTTGAAASTTAAAGCCATACATAAAAACAGTCATTTTCGTCCTATTGTCTCATAAAATCAAAATCAAGGAAATAGAAAAATTAGCAAAACAAGATGTCTTTTTCAATTTTTCATTAAAATCCCAGATTATTTCTCTTGCCCCACTTCTATCACAGCCTCCCCATATCAGCAGCTCACGAAACCTGTAAAGGATTTATGCCCCTTACCTTGTATATCATTTTTGCAGCTTCATTCAGAATAGAAGGTACCCAATTCTCATTTGTTGTCTAAAAATTAAAAATAGTATAAATCACTCTTTGCATCTCATTCAATGTATTTGAGGTTTTATTCTATACTTTCCAGCTCAAAATGCACCATTAGTTTGGTCCTTCTAGACAGTTTCTGCATRCACATAAGTAAATTCCATATTGAGTCTGTCAGGTTTAATTTTCAACTCCTCCCATTTAAAAAATCCTCAGCATCTAATAAAAATAGGAGTTAACTGAAATTCTCTCCTTTTCTCAAAAGCCTGGCAAAATAACACATTTCTAGTGTCAAAATAATGATGTCAAAATAATAATTCTAATGTCAAGTATGTTTGTCATAATTTACTCATTAAACCTGTAAATAACCTACCCCACAAAGGTAAACACTTTCATCTCGTTTTACAGGTCAGCTGGATCATAAGAACACCCCCCACCTTCTCCAAAAGCCAAAGACAGTTAAAACAAATATGCAAGCACATTCTYGCACACCTTACCAGTAAACTAAGTTCACCCAATGTCATTCCCAGAGAAACAGGACACTGTGGATCTGTGATCTAAAAAAATAGGTGGAAAAAAAAAAAAAGTTTCTCTCTCATTTGCCCACCCAAAGCCAACAACCAAGTTGAATCCAGAGCTGTTTTGAGGGTCTTGTTTTGCTTAATAATAGTACTAACTAGACAATTCTTAAAACTCCAAGTTGTGTCAAAAGTCAAGATGGATGTGGTTTACAAGCTTAATACTTAAATTTCAAAGCTCCCTTTCAATACCTAGTAATCTTCGTATGATGGGGGAAAAAGAAAAAAAAAAAAAAAGCTCCAAAGTACATTTGGTAGGTAACCTACATCTAATCCTTCCCTTTCACAGACAGCAATCTCAAACTGCCTCATGCTTCTTCCTAAAGGAAGCTGAAGGTGGGATGGCAGAAAACCAGCTTTGTTTATATTAAGACTCCCAATCATCAGTTAAGCACTTTTAACAATTTCCTCTGTGATTAATCTCTAACCCCCACCAGTTTCTGCTGATCTGTCTCATTCACACCACAAARACTGTTTATTTCAGCCGCACACACTAACGCACGAGAAACAGCAACTACACACATTTAGAGACATGTCAAACAGGGCAAAAGAGAGACCACCTACTTCATGCATGCAAAATATTTATGGCTTTCAGACATATTTTGCTTATTTTACCCGAAGAGGTGTAAAGGAAATGAGTATCAATTTATTTCCAAGGACTACATAATGATCACCATACTGAAGTACAATTTAAARTGAAGAAAAAGTGTTCCAAGTACTTACATCATCTTCATATTTAACATGAATGCCTGTGATTTTGACTTGCACATTCTTTATAACTTGAGTTGCAAGCTTTTCCAAGAAAGTATCTTTTTTCTCTTCCTTTGGTTTGTCTAAAATAAAAAAGTCATAAATCAGTGCTACAGTCACATCTTGAGTTTAACTATACTGACAGGTATTAGAATGTAAACTTAATGTTTACATTCTGAGTAATTTGCATTAGGCTGAGATATTTGCATTTTTATCTCAGCCTAAAAACCAAAAGCACAACATTAACAAGATCATGAAGTTCAATGTTTTCTCCATCTGTACATCATGGAACTCTTTCTTGTGTTAATCGCAGAGCATGTCATATAGCTACATATTTTCTACATATTCCATACTCCAAAAATACATGCAGTGTGCCCAACATGCAACCATAACAATACATCCACACTTCAGTCAAAATCATTCAGCTAGCAACACAACTTGGATTTTCTTTTTTGTAAACATACCTCACATCACCCCTTCCAAGGGGAAMAAATTCTCCCTTAAAACTCCCTCAGCAATTAACTACCAATTTCAATGAGAAAATAGGTAGAAATGTGTAATTCAGCACAAAATACCCTTGAATAACCAGGTGAGGATAATGTTGGCATCACAGCCTCTTACAGAACACAGAGGATGTTAAAATGATCACATATATAAGAAATGAACAGTTACATTGTAAAAATATGACTTTTTTTTGCATAGTGGGCTCACACTACAGCCAGTTAAGCTCAATTCCCACTAAACTTTACTATGCCATATAGTGATAACCGAACAAGATAAGGCAGCAGAAGCAACATACACAGGAGCCACTCAAGTCAACCATACGTATGCCAGAAAAACACTAAGGATTTACAATACGCTAAGTGGAATTTACAATATGCTTAATGCTTAACATCAGTTCTAACTATTTTMAACATTTTACAAACACAACACAGAATAACAKATATACATAGCTTTGTATATTTTCRTTCAAAAAATATTCTTTAAGTTATTAGAGAGGTTCAGAAGATTCCAATAACAATAAAAACTTKAGCCACTGTACTCGATATAATGATTTTATTCAAAAAAGGGTTTAACTTCAAGTAAAAGAAATAGTCAGGAACTCCAGGAAGGTACAAAAGGTTTTCATCATTTTTATATCAATCTCACACTCTTCCTCGCATTTGTCATTCATTCACAATTGCCACTCAATATGAGCAAAAGTCAGTTTAACTCGGATCAAGAAAAACAGGCAGAGAAGCACATATTAAAGCTTCATGTCTTTCAAGTAGCACAACAGCATTTTTGTAACTAACTGCAGCTAACAGCAACAATAAAAGACTGGTCTTTCACCAAACTGAACAATTTTTTACTCAGTTTATTAGGCTATGTTGCAGTTTTATCTGCGATATATACCCCATGCGGGACATGGCAACCTGTACAGGAATGGCACTAATGCTGAAAAGTTGTGTTTTAGTAGTGATGGACTGTGGTAATTTTCCCTTTATGGGGAGACATCAATTCCAATGCTGTCAGAGCATCAGTCAAAACAGTATGTTAGCTATTTAGAAAAGATGTTAACATGATAGATGAAAGACTTTACTACTGTATATATGTATACTGTACACTACAGTATTACATTATTACAAAATTACTCTACACAGACTTTGTTATAATGTTATGATAATTGGATTAACAGACCTTTTCTCTCTCAATGCATTTTTTCCCCAACAGCCAAGTTCAGCCTCATTTGACTTCAAAACTAAGAGAAACTAATTCAGGCAAAGTAAAAACAAAAAAAAAAAAAAACCCACACGCATACCCACACACACAAAACCTCATACCCACATGTTTTACCCACCTTTTGAATGATCACGACCTCTAAAGGGTTTCCTAAAATGCTTTTTATACTTTTTACGCTTACGTCCTTTTTCAGTGCAAGCAATTTTGTAAGAAAGATAAAATTCAAGTTAGTAAAGCAGAAATGCAGGAAAGCACAGGGAAGAAAATGAAAGGAAAAAGCTCATTCTGTCTTAAAGCAGAATGCCTTTTTTGAGCTATCATTAAAAGTTTTTAAAGCATTTCAGAGTTGTTAAGAAAGCAGAGCGCTGCACTTCACAACACAGAATCTTAGGGGTCTTTTTAGTAATAATTGATATGCGAATTTACTTTCCTGGAAGCAACTGAGCTCTTGATTATTTTTAAGTCATTTTACTTTAAAATTTCACTAAACTAAGCAGCCAAGAAAAACTTCACGTATGTATCCAAGTACCTACCAGACCAATGGTCCTGTCAAGGCATTAATTCAGTTTTCACAAATGCCTYGTGTAACTTCTGAGGAGTTTGAAGAACTACAAATAACCACTGGGCTTCTCAGTAACTACATGTACATCAGACTTTTTTATGAATTGATTACTTTAACACACTTGAAGATCAATTAAGTATGAGAAGAACAGAAATCAGAACTACACAGTTATTTTAGAACTTTGCTACCCTTTTGAAAGGTGAAAAAAGTATTAGGACCCTGGTGAACTACTTCATAATCCTATAATGCATGTTTGTTTTGAATCTAAAACCACAGGCAGAGGCATGATTAGCATATGTCATTGGGAAAAAACAACCAGAAGACACTTCTACCATACAGGTGCATAACTTTCAAATTAAGATATCCAAGACATACACAGAAACCTAAAAAAACACTGCTCAAGGACTTTCACATTAAACAGCAGGTTACGGCAYGATCTGAAAGAACAATAAACACACAAATGGCATGTAGAAATAATGATTCTTCAGAAGTTTTTATGAAATTCAATTGTCCTATTTATAAATACATTATGATGAAAACAGTCACAAACTGTTTTAGCCATTATGCTAATAATCCTGTTTTTCCACATTTACTAGGAAAACTAGGTTGGTCTGTTATGYAGTTTCTTTCCCCCTCTACCCAACCAGCACATGCACTTGGCAACACTGCAGTCTGTATTCAACCTTTTAAAATTCTAGCATAAAGGTGTGTGCTGTTACAGCAAAAAGGAAGAAAGTCCAACAGTCCTGCTTGCTGCAACAGTAATTTAAAGACGTTGATTCTGAATTACTTGCATGCTTGCTCAAATAAAGCAGGAAGTGTCTCCCATGCTTTGAACCTGCCTTGCACTTATGCACTTTGTCACCCTACAAAGAACAAGAAAAACTGCACCAAATGTAAACAGTGTTTTCTTTTGGATAGTTCATTAAAGAGTACAAGGAACCTTCAACAGCTGATATTGAAAAAGACAGCTTCTTTCTGTAGTTAAAGAATGTGAAGATCTCAGTCCTTCAACTTCATGCAAGATACATCTTAAGACATGATATTTCCCCTGAAGCACTTGCATTCCTAACTGAAGAGAGATAAAATATAGCTTAAGCCTGATTTTAACTTTATTCTGAAGTTGCACTCAGATAAAAGCCTGCTAAGGAACTGTAGCTAAGAATAGCTTTCTACTGAAAATTTAAACTCAGGAAACAAGTACAGCAGCTACGTAACAACAACTCCTCTGAATTCCACTGCAGACAGTTTCCTTGCTAAAAATGAGAGGAATCCAAGTAAGAACATGAAAACGCAAATGTTGGATGTCTACAATGGCTCATTTTGCCTGTTTGAAGTTCAAAGAGAGCCCAAACTTGAAATATCTACAGCCCAAAAACTTTAAGTAAGGGTAATTACCCTCCATTCTCAAAGCCCATGCATTGTCAGCATTCTGTGACATTCTTGAACTCAATATGGCCAATGGAGATATTTCTAATTGTACCATCTTTTTGAACAACCACTTAATCAAGACAGCACCAGTCATAATAAGCATGAATTCAAAATCATTAAAATCTTATTTAAATATGCAGATGCTTACCAAAAAGTCTTGTTGCTTCATTTCTACATATGGCCATTTGGGTGTTGTTTTTTCTGTTTGTTTAATTTAAGTATCAATTAACCATGCATACCCACCAGGCTTGATGTCCTTGTAAATCAGTTTCTCCAACCCATACAAGGAATCTTGTGAATGAGTGCCTTGGTCCACATGGCAGCAAATAACCAAAAAAATGCATTTTTAATAAAGAAATCAACTCCTGATTTCATGTCAAGTTCACAAAATTCAAGGGCTAAGTTAGTATTTCCATTATAATATCTGATAGCCAGAGGCAAAGCTTCAGAATAATTAATTTCAAAGCTTATCTACATATSCCAAGTGATGCAATCTTCATTTTACTCCTAACCATTACAAGATAAGAGCTGCAAGCTTTGGTCTCTGTATACATATTTGGATATTGACAGACCTCAGAAGCTTAGGAAATAAGAAATAATGTATTGCCAAATTATGTCAGCAGATCTTGTTCTCACTTTCCATCACACATTACTATTCATATGATGACACAACCAGTTTGTTCAAAGTTGGAGTAGCCTGTCTACAACTTCCCCCCCCSCCCCCCAACCTCCCCAGAATTTTGTGTTAGGACTCCTAAATAAATACAGGTACGAGTCAAGATACTTTATATATCAAAGTTTACTACCCACATTACTAGCCACATAAACAGATAGAGTTAAAAACAGAGCCTGATTTTACAGTTACTACATTTCTCAGTCTGCCACCAGCTCGTGTGTGCTCCTGAAGGCCAATAAAAAGCATTCCTTATGAATTCAAGCTGCAGAAGAGCAAGTGTACAACTTCTGTATCTAGCCAAGGTAAAAGATCTGCTCACACAGGAACTGCACAACTCCTCAGCACAAAACAAAAATGTAAGAAACAAAGCCACTGAACACAGTATACTGAGGATAATTGCAGTTTAAAGTAATTCGTGTTGAGTTATCCTTTGCTTCTTCCTCCCCAAGGCTGAAAGTTTGACACTGTATCTCCACAAAACATGACACAACCTATAGTTCTTTGAATGAGGAATCAAGACACTGAGCTAACACCTTTATATAAATAATTTATTCATAAGTATAAGAAGTGCTGGGTATAGTAAGTCCTCACTTACAAAAAAAGAAAAAAAAAAGAAAAAAAGAAAAACTTCTGTTCCTCTAAACACAGTATCATATTATTAAAGATCAGTAATTACAACTCTACAGCAAGATAATGCCTCACGCAATGCAGTTTCTATCTTCGGTCTCAATTCCCAGAGCTTTAAATACATATACACACATACACACAARCACTCGATGATCAAATTCTCATCATTTCCAGTGGGAGTCAAATGGACAAATGAACAGTAAATAAGTGATATATTATTTCAGGTTTTAATAAGCCTTTTTAAAGAACTACAGTAAAATTAGCTAAATTCTTGAAAAACAGATTCGAGTCAGACAGAAAACAGTGTTCTCAAGTTCTGATGGAGGTTTGCATTATTATCTTAGTACCTTTGTCTGCTGCTTTCTGTAAGGCTTCCTCAATTCTTGCAAGTTCTTTTTGTTTATTATCTTGTAAATATTTTTCTTCTTTCTCTGCATCATATTTAATACCTGCAAGCCAAGTTGGGACAGTTTTAATCCTAAACCTGAAGCATCGCTGCTTAAATTAAGTCAATGCAAAAACAAGCAAAACACACCCTGCTCAGTGGAGATTTGGCAACATAAAAGGCATGCTTGGTAGAACTGCGGAAACCTGCCTCCCACCTCTGGAATTCACATTATTACGTAGTTAAGATCCTACCAATATTTAAGGATGATATCACCAAGTGATGCAGCAATCAGAACCTTTCCACATCATTACAAAGGCAAAAATTCAGAGTCCTTTAAGTGTGCACTTTGCAGTATAATGCAGATTGTAAGCTCTGCTATACATACATTTAATACTCTAGAAACTTGAAAGTTTACTTAGTAAACTAAGCTTCTGGTTTCACAGGACACAAGTCAAATTCTCTGATCTTCTTTTCCTTCCCTAAAAACCATCTTTAAGTGTTAGAAGTCAGAAACAAATGGACTACTTCACATTGACCAGTCAAAAGATCTAGACAAGACCAGAAAAAAAAAAAAAAAAAAAAAAAAAAAGGTTCAGACTAAGTACCCTTCAAAGGAAGTGCCTCTGTTAAACTGAACTTAAAACGGATATATCCAAGAATTTCCACAAAAGCAACAGGCTTCCTCCCATCCTTCTTGCACTCACTGGCCAGTGTTTGCCTAGAAATCTCCTTGAGTGAGCAGAATGTACAAATGGCAACCGATGTGAACAACTTGCTATTACATTCTCAATTACACCAGGCCTTTCAATATTTCYCTCTCTTCCATTACTTTATTTCATTCTGTTCTTAAACAATATACGTACTTGCTCCTGGAACTATTAGAAGATACAGGCCTTCTAGAGTTGCAACAACTGCCTCACCATACAGATTTTTCCAAGGTATCTTCAGAGTAAGTTTATCTAGATAAACAAAAATAGAATTACTTTAAAACAAAAATCTATGCTGTGCTTAGGCTGAGCAACATCTCAGTTACTGAAGAGCATTAGCCCTATTTCTTGAAGTCCTAAATACTTCAAAAGGCAAAACAGGACCTGCATGGGCATAAGCAGTTTACACAGCTCTTGAAATGAGAAAATGCACTGAAAATAAGCCACTGATTTAAGCAAGAAGATGTAGTCTGAGTCATAAGACTCAGATCAAAAGTTGAGACAATTACTGGAGTTTAATGGACTAAGATGAACATTAACGTGTAAGGGCATGGAAAAAGAAGCATGATCCATTCCTCCTCCCACTAATCTTTCACTTGAAAAAGCAACACTGAGCACTACCTAAAGGCATTTTTAACCATATATGTCAGAATTCTTTAATCTCGGGCATATTTGCCAACTTCTCAAAAAACCTTAAAATCTTCGTATTGATCACACAACCTCTAAAAAGCCAAACACGTTTACTGAATAGTTCCCTTGCTTCAAGGAAAAGTAAAATAAAATTTGCAGGGAACAATTAAATTACCGGAACTACAGGAAAATTTTGCCCAAGAAAGCTAACAGGAAAAAAAAAAAGATCAAGAATCAGAACAAGACTAATCTACTGATCTATTCTAAAATTTCCATTTTAAGAATTTTGGTGAAAAAATAACTTACCTATTTGGCCAACTTTTACTTTAAAAGGTATATCCAGTTCACTCTGTTAAAAAAAAAAAAGAAAAAAGATATATAGAAAAATAAGATCCATTTATTTTAAGGATAATCACTGTGGCAAAATCTTAACCCACGTTAAAATTATTCTCCAAGAACTGAGGTTCCAGAACATGAGCAGTTCTCTACACGAATGGGTTCTAATTATTTAGTGTTACTCTCCTGACCACAGGGTTCCGTAAATACGATGAGGTTGTTAAAAGGTACAAAAACGCTCCAAAAGTTACTAAAAAACAATATTTTACTTACATGTGATGATTTAATCCTGCATTTTCATTAGTTTGCCAGGTGGCTCTTATTTGTGACAATCACAATTTTCCAAATTTTTAGTTTTTCCAAATATACACTAAAAGTCTCACTGAAAACCGCTTTTTAAATGTTTTTACCCATTTGCACTTACTAATGCATTCTCCTTTATTTGTAAGTTGTCCAGAGCCACATTACCTATGTGGAAGGAGAAGAAAAGTATAGAGTAAGTGATTCTAAATTCTGTATTAAGTTGGAGCAAGAAACTCAACTACAACATTGCCAAAAACTGGGGTAATATCTAGAATCAAACTTCCAGTTACTGGATAGCATAAAATGCCTAAGATGCACAAAAAATGTCCAAGCAACGAGTCATTAATACACATTATCCAGGCAAAATGTAACAGTGGGGGAGATCACAGGAATACCACTAACTTACATTCATACATGTTTTTATACTGTTCAATAATGCCTAACAATATCTTTCTTATCATCATTCTTATTATTCAGTTTGTGCTTTGAACAATAAACACTGTTTGATCATGGCAAGGAATGAGCTCTTATTTTTATTAATTTTACACAGCAGGAAAAACGGCATGAATCATAAAACCACAAGAATGTAAGGCACCTGCGTGATTGTTTTTGCCCCTGCATTAACTTCTCCTGAARCTGGCAAAACGAGAGTATTTCCAAAGGGAATGCAGTCCCAGGGAATTATTGATGTGGAAGACAAACCAAACATACCTCTTGGTGCTTTAGTATCAAATTTCTTAGTGATACGTTCTGCCTATAGCACTAGTGCTTTTAACCATTTTTAAACGTTAAAAACACTAGCCTTGACTACCATGGCAACAGCCAGATGGGGAAGACGGGGCAAACTGGGCGCCGAGGTACGAGGAGAGCTGAAGCAGCGCGGCCTTGGCAGGCAGCGGGGCAGCCCCCGCGCCTCCCTTGGAGGAGGAAGGAGCAAAACGACTCGGGTCGGCGTAACGGTCGTAACGGCCGCAACCGCCGCTCRCTCGTCCCTCACGGCGGCGCCGACCCAGGGAAAAGGCGGGAAAGGCGCGGGGCGCGCCCGCCCCCTGGGGAGGGCAGCAGGGCCAACAGGGGTGAGAGGGAGGGCGAAGCCTCGGGATCCACCGCCCCTCGTGGCGGGCCCAGCAGCGGGACTGACCGCCCCGCAGCAGCGAAGGGAAGCTGGGGGCTCAGCCCCGCGGACCGACCACCCCTCACGGGGTYCGCAGCCAACGAGACCCGCCGCGGCCCCCACCCGGGGCCGACTCCTCGCCGCCTCCCTCCCTTCCTCCCCGCGCCGGGCCGGCCCTCGGCGCAGGGTGCGGGCAGGCGGAAGGGGCTCCTTACCCCCCCATATGCCCAGCTTGAGCTGAGACTTGTTCAGGTTCTCCACATAGTCGCCCAGGAAGCGGTTCAGCAGATCCGCCACCACCGACTCCAGCACCATGGCGGGGGCTGGGGCGCGTGCGGGGCGGCGGGCACCGACGCAGCAGCCGCCGAAGTTGTGGCCGCCGGGCGCGTCCCCGGCAGTCAGGTGACGGGGGCGGGGCGCGCGCCCGCCCCGCCCCCGCCGTGTGCCGTGGCGCGGCGGGGCGGCTGTTGGCCGTGTGGGGCGGCGGGGGCGCCATCTTGTTGCGAGCGGCCGCAGCGACCCCACCACTCAGTCACAAGCCCCAAAGGAGCGCTCGGCTGCACAAAACCCAGGAAAATCTGGCTTTTAATGGAAGCCGAACCTCAGTTTCTCTGCAGCCCCTTGGAAAACGTCCTTATTTTTAGAGTGGAAGGGTGCAGGAACTGACAGCTGTCAGGTGATGCCTGTCAGAAACTGTTTGCATTAGAGACAAAAGCCAAGGGCTTCTCAACACAGCATGGAAGCTTTAAGCGAGYAGTGTCCTCTCTCCTGTTAACGTTATTATTTTGTATGCATATATAGGCTTATTGCTGCCTCTAGGATGAACATCTACTTGCATCCCATTTTTTATTTGGAACTTCCCTGAACCTGGCTAGCCCAAACAGCTTATATGAAAAGTGTCATGTCAGTTAATGCAGCTGTTCAACATGGAAACTCAAAGAGGAAGGGGACAGAATGTTTAGCGAGTTACTACAGAGAAAATAGATGGCACATACTGTGCCATTSACCCTGTGGTGAATCTGGGTAGGGGCCATGCGCATAAAGTTGTTTAGAATTCGTGAGGACACCTTAACTGATGGAAGAATAGTGATTTAAGGTTCAAAATAACACATTCTAAAAATGTTTTTCCCCCTCCTGCACCCCTCCTCCCCCCCCAAAAAAAAGTAAATTAGTATTAGCAGTATGATTCAGACCTTTAAAAGCAAGGTAAATTAGTACTAGCAATAGGATTCAGGCCTCTAAAAGACATAAAAATAATCAAGGCCACATGAATGCAATCAGAAGACTGTGAACAGTGTCAGAGAAACAGCTTTACACAGCATACAGTTAAATTATGGGGCTTAGTGTCAAGGGGGTATTATGAAAGCACAGATATTTACAGAAAAGACTTCAGTAAATGCCTGCAGAATTGTGCATTAGTGACTGCCGCTGCTCTGCTTGCTTTGCAGCCTCCGTTTCATGCTGGCGAGCTCCCTCTTGCTGCAGCTGAGATGCAAAGAGCTCCGCTGGGATGTCCCACAGTTTTATTTGTGCAATAGACACATACCCGAGGCCATTCTCATGCACATGCCAGTTTTCCTCAAACACATTTTTCAGATTGTTAAATGTATGATAAAGCATAAAGAGTCCCATTGAGTACACCCAAGCAACAGAAGATTCCATTTTTAKCACCTTAGCATCAGGAAATGAGGCGTGCCTTTAAGCATTTTAAATAAAGCTATTAGAAAAAAAAATCAACTAAAATCTCCCTTAACAGGCCATTAGATGCAGAATTCCACACACCGCTAGCTAGTGCTGGGTGATTTCTGGAAAACATCTTAGTTGTTGGTCATTATTGTYAATTGAGTGCTCTTTCTGTCCCAGTAAAAGGGAACAATGTAATAGAAAGAGACCGGACATTAGGAAGAGTTATTAAACTTTCAAATCAGAACCACAGAGGTGAAAAACAAAGTAATCCGCCCAAAGCTCGTTATTTTTCTTATGGCAAAAGGAACTGCCGCCCCTGAGCAGCTCTATGGTTTTGAGCGCCTCTGCAGCCAAGGCTCTATAGAGCTAAGTATGTTATACATATATTCTAGCTAGCAGCTTACCAGCAATGTCCTTGCCACACATGCACTCTTACGCTGGAAGATTCTTTTCTTTCCATTAGCAGAAGAGCTTGCACTGACTTCTACAGAAGTGTTTCCTGTGATACCAATAAGACCAAACAACAGGGTGTTAATTTTATTGTTTTTTTTACAAGTGCTTTTGTGCTATTGATTCACATCTCCAATTTTTTAACCTTAAATAACATGCTGGTACAGTTTACTTTCCATAGTGTCTTAAAAGCTATTTACTTTTTTTAAAATGCATTTTTAAAATTATTTTTTAAAACCTTGAAAGTCCATGTGGATGGCTTCTCAGATTTCCGAGTGCCTTGTCTCCAGTCTGAGATAGAGACAGCTTTCTAATTTATATTTTATTGATTTGTTTACTTCTTTTTTTTGCAGAGTTGCCAGTTCAAATCCCATCATATCATATGGAAGCAGCAATGGAAGAAGGCAAAACAGGAAATTTTAAATAGGGTTTTTGATGCCATTCTGTTAGGTAACAAACTTTCACTCGTGCTTTTTTCCCCCCCCCTAAATAAAATTTTAAAATAACTTAACTTACTGTGCTTATAGATAGTTAAATAAGTTTCTAATAACCAAGAAGTTTACATACTGAAGATACTTAAAGAACTCCATGATTTTTGGAATTCAATTGTTGTTGCTCTTTACAAACATCATTTACTAACAAGTAACATCTATGACATAGTGGATCATAAAATTGGTCCCAGAGTAATGTAATTTCATCTGTAAAAAAAAAAAATCACAACCCAAGTCTGTCAAAATATCCTCTTTTTTAATAAAAGCCTGAACAAATTTTTTTTTTAAGAAATTAAGGAAAAAAATGCACTGTTAGATGAGGTATGAGTTCTGTATCCAGAAGAACATACACAGGGCAAACAGAAACATGGATGTTTATTTACCACTCACTGAATACACAGACATCTCAGAGAAAATAATATGCATTCTGTCCTTTTTTTGTAATTACTAACAATGAATAGACATGACTCATTTCATAAATATGAATGGAAATCGKAGTTCTACTGAGCTGAAAGTCATCAAAAACAGCATGTTCTGGCTGATGTCTAGAGGCCCATTCAGTATTACTGTAGCACTTCATAAAATATAAAGATTTGATGATTCTGTTACTGCATGGTAATTTCCTAAACAGTATACATAAATATAACACTATAACATTTAACTCTGTGGTCATGCTATTTCTATGTCAAGATTTGTTCAAATCTCTAGATAAACATTTTAAAAACTGAAGCGTAACAGCAATCTACATTGTAAGTTTAAAGTTTGCATTTTATCAATAGAAATATGCATCATAACAACAAATATTTGTTTGCTGTTGCCTATTACACTATCTTTCGTGCATAAATAATCATCACAGCAGTTCTAATGCTAATCTGAGTACATGGACTGATAGCTCTATAACCAATCCTTCCTCTCATATTTAACTGCATTAATATTACAAAATCTCCAGCTCCTAACATCTGASTATTGGCAGGTGAACAGATGGTAAATTCTATCCACTGTACCTCATTACACAGAATGTGTGCCTATTAGCAGTTGAGAAATCAGCCAAATAATGTAGCATTGTCCTTCCTCACCACAAAGCCACTGAGATAAGGTGACTTTGCAATGAGTTTGATCAGGTTGCCAAGGGCCTTGTCTAGACAAGTCCTCAAAATCTCCAAAGCTGGATATTACACAGCCTCTCTGAGCAACCTGTTCCCTAGCTGCACTGGGCTTTTTCTTCCTCTTCTATTTGGAATTTCCCATGCTTCAATTTATGATCATTAAGGTCTCAGGAGCACTGACTGAGACCTTAATACATACTTAAGATGTATTTTGGCAGTTAGTAGATCAGTAAAGGCAAGAAATCAGTACTGATAATTTTGCCATCCTGATCTTTATAAAATAATTCTGAGTTCTGTGGAAATAATGGTATGTGATACTGATTTTGGTTTTGATTTCCTTTTTTTTTTTTTTTTTTTTTGTTTATTTGGGTTTTTTTTTTTTATATCCTTTACTGTTTTTAAGCTTGATTCTAAACAGTGCCCAGGAAATTTCATTAGTATTGAATGCACTGCAGAAAGTGAAAATACTTGAGATGTCTCAACTATTATATCAAGAACTCAAGTAAGACAATATGAGTGTTTGTTTATAGGAACTGCAAAACTGCTAACTGATTAATTTTTTAAGATCATTATTAGGAATTTCTGCAATGCTGTTATTTCAGATACATTAGGAGTAAGTAAAACCAGCAGATTATGCTACATTAGGATRGCTGAAAAAATAAGAACTTGACAACTTAGAGCACTGTGATTTCCCTCTTTCCTGTTACAAGGCAGAGGCTCTTGGAGAGGCTTTGGAGAAAGTGCAGCCTCAGACAGTGATGGTACTATTTCAGTGTGAGGTCTTTTTCCTCTCTGCAAAACAACAGTAAGTACAAAAAATACCATAAAACCTCACCCTCATAAAACTCCACCTCTGTTTCTAAATTAATAATTAGATGTGCATCCTTTCCCATTATCCTTCAAGACAAACACTGAATCAAAATACCTCTACTGGCTACTGTGCGGATTTCAGAAAAATGTGGGTAAAAATAGCATCCCAAACAACCATTTCTTGTTCAAAGCCTAGAACCAAAGCACTTCATAGCTTTCATATGATAACAAAGGAAGAAATRCAGTGTGGTGCAGATACTGCATGGTAAGAAGTAAGGAATAATGTTCTATCTGCAAATGAGGATAACTCCACAAACACTCAGTATGAGAGGTGGTTTTCAAGGGACTTTGAACAAACTTCGGTCAGATGAGCACTACTTTTCTTCATGTACTGTACCTTATCTGTTTCTAAGAGATTTATTAATTAGAATCTGCATTTCTGCAGGAAATGGCCAAGCCAAAGGCTAAGTCTATCTGATCAGTATTGATCACGTGTCATACCAACTGAGATTTAAATTATAAATTGCTTTGACATCTTTCATCCTGAGCAAGAGAATCTTCAAAACAGCTAAGCTGCATCATAGGAAAAATCTAACTTAATTTTTCATGAGGATTTTATTTGATGGTATTTCTGAGAATTATAACTTTTCTTTTTTTTTCCTCCAGTAATGTGCTGTGAAGATGAAAAAGCCACTAGCTATGTAAGAAAATTTCTTGAAATGAAAATGAACTTGTTTTAATGAATACGGTACCTTTGAGTGGGGAAGGAAGCAATCCAAGCCAAGTCTGAACCAAGCAAATTTGCTTTTGAATGATAAGTATAATTTTACTCACTTGATCAGAGCTTATTCACTATAAAACTAAGGATCCTGCATCTGATTGGCACCCCACAGATCTGGCATGGAATTAATAACTGTCCTGGAAAACACAGTCCAATTGCAAATGCACAGATGTAAAGAGCTTAGAGTAATGGCTACTCTCTCTTTCAAGAGAAACAAAGCTCATTATAGTTAAGGTGCCTCAGTCCATTACTTCAGGTCTTGGACATAAATTAGGGCAATCATCTATTACAGAATTACAGAACACTCTCTATTTAAAAAAGCTRCAGCTAAGAATTTTTGTTGCTTTTGTGTTTAACTTTATTGCTGACAACTAAGGTAAAAAAAGACACAAGGAAATAAGGAAACACAATTAAGGACAATTTTCTAACAGTTCCACATGAATGCTGTCCAAAGGGAAATCTGAAAAGGACAGTTAGAAACATTCACCAAAATAATTTTTCAAAATGTGAGCATTGTTCAAGATAAATTTTCTGAGTGGCGAGTGTGTGTGCTTTTCTGGAAAAGCACTGGCTCATTTTTTAAAAAGAGATCCTGAAAGTTAGCACTATGTGTAATTTATTATAAGCCATAATGTGATTTGGAAATGACCGAGAGAAGAAAAGTAGGATGTTGCACAGTTACAACATCTGTTGTTACTGACAAGAGTTAGTACAAATCCAGATGGAGGTCAGTCTTTAAGTAATATAGCAGGGGAAGTAGAAATTCCAAATGTCCCACTTACAGTGAATTTATAAAAACAAATGTAAGAGTTTCTTATTTTTCAGCCAAAGTTACACAGAAGTCACCCTCTACTCCAGGCACTGCTGAACTAGACAATATTGCTTTTGCTTAAAACCAAGTTATTTCAGGAACATGCTTTATGTAATCTAGTTCCAATAGTATCTATAAGACACCTTTACTAACACCACTCAATTTTTATAGTCTTACTTGGGACTGGAAACATGAACCTGAGTTACCTTATTTGCTGATACAGAGAAAGTCATCCAGGACATTATGAGGCAATGCCACCACTTAATTCACAGGAAAGACTCTGTAAAAAAAAGATCTATGAATCGGGATGGGCTAACTACTCCCAGAGCAAATCTTACGCAGCAGATATTATTCCAAAGAGAGATTGTTTTCAGGTGTTTCTGCTTGGCAGTGTTTAACTCTCATGGCAACGCACATACATTACATAAACAAACACTATGTGCGATTCTTTTGTCTCTTCTGTCAGTTTAAAACTGGAAGAACTCTGTTAGAATCAATGTAGCTACAATATACAAAGTCAACACATGTTCAGAATTATTTCCAGAGTCCCCTGAGTCACAGTCCTTTTAGCYATTTATGGTTCAGAGCTGTTCAGATGGTATATTATACTGTTATATATCTTTCTGAAATGTAAATTTGTTCCAAGTATCTTCCAAGGTCTGTTAAAAGTGGAAAAAAAACACATGCAGTTTAAAGAGAGAGTATGTAAAGTAGAATGCAGTGAAAGATTATGTTTTGATCAAGAGCTCAATACAGTACAGTGACTACTTGTAATAATAATATGCTCGAGTGGTTTTAATGCTGATTTCTTAAATAAATTGTTGACTTGTCACATGTGATACACAAGTTTGAATGTCAGAAATGTAGTTGAGTAAAGCTACTTTTATTACAATGCATTGTCCGTAGCCATAGGATATCAACAATTCATATAATGTCTTTAATCCATATGACTTAATTGTTACCTTAATTAATCAAATAGGAATTAGGTGCAAATACCTATGTATTGAAAAGTTCATCAAGCCTCTTGAAAATGTAGTTGATAGCTGATCACRAAAATACATGAAGCTTTGCAACTCTGACAAGAGTCCTAGAAAGGGCCCGCTTATTGGAAAGCTTGTTGAAGGAAACCCTAACGCTCACTTTTGCCATTTGTTGTGTTTTGTGCATTCTGCATTTTCTGGTCTATGTCTTATGTTGCCAGTTCTCAGATACAAGAGATTTACGGACGTATGCAGAAGAGCGCACACTTGGTATTTCTCATTATACAATGGGCACAGGTTTATCAGGGTGTCTTCAAAAGTCTTCAAGCAGAAGAAAACAAAACAAAATATTAAACAATACTATMGTTTGTTAAATGGACAAATTGTTCTAGATGACCGGAGGATAGATATGATTCAATCTCCCAGATCCATGTGCTATGATCTCTAGATCCTAACAATAGGTAAGGAACAGCAGGGAAGCAAAAGGGAAAGTGAGGGGGGGAAAAAAAAAAAAAAGAGAGAGAAATTACCATTGAAAGGAACAAGCAAATTGTCAGATCAATTGCTCCTAGTAATTAAACCTTTGATAGCCAAAGTAAGAAAAATATAGTTAATAAAAACATCTGCAGAAAGTTCCAGTTTCAGCATGGATTGAGGCACTGATACGATGGAAGGAATCCTATTATGAATCAACATATTGAGAGTACTAATAGCATATTGTATAGGTTTATTTTCATAAACCTATTTATTTTCATTTCATTTATTTTATTGTATAGGTTTATTTTATTTTATAGGTTTCTGCCATTATTACCAATCTATTACCTTAATAATGAAGTTGATCCAGAGTTCCTCCTGCACACACACTGGGTGCTCCACGTCATCAGGGGCTGGAAAATTCAGTATTTCAAGTTGAACTGAAAGTATTGAGGCAGTCTCCCTCTCCACAGGTCATGAATCCTCAAAACTGAGCAGGGTAACACACTGCTGAGCTGCAAGGGCATGTGGCGAGCAGGTAAGTTACTAGTTTTTAGTGAAACGACTTCCTAGGCATCTCAGCAACACTGCGAAGATAGGCCGAGAGCTACTGTAATCTCTTATTTCTGAAAAACATTGTCTTTATTTATATTTCCATTTCATGCTTGAGATTGTAACTAGTCACATGAGAAGAAAACTTTCAGTTGCATTTTTAAAGCTTATCTAATTTTAAGAGTTTATCATATTTAAATTTCCACTAAAGATAAATTCACTTATCATTCAGACTTTATTGTCTCTCATGTGTAACCTGGGCTTACGTATACCAGGATTGTCATATAGGAAGTAGTTGTGTGTGTGAATATAAAGGGCAAGTTACCAGTTATCTCACAAGTAGGGCACTTGAAGGTAAGATGTTTTTTACATCAGTCTGACATACTAACACCTGTAATTAAGACATGTAATGTCTGCCCTTAGCTTTGTTATCTTTTARTTACTCTCAACTGAAAGGTGATATTGAGCAACTCAACCCTTATTTTAAGAGCAAAATTGCACTGCTTATCTTCCAGTCTCATATTTGCACTTACTGTCTCGTCTACAACTTGGTGTTCTCTAAAATATCTTGACATGCAGATACTTAAAGTGGCAACCAAAAACTGCTGGTTTCTTTTCCAGAAGAAATGATGTACTCCTCCTTAAATACCAGATCCATACATTGATACTACTATGGTGAAATCTGGACTGCATTTCATTTAATTTGGAAATTTTAGTAGTGAGGGCTCATAAAATTGTTGTAGACGTCAAATTTAACACTCCTTGTGCTAAATACAGGATCTTCAGAGTTTTTAAATTCAATACTGCAGTATAACTGTCAAATCAAAAAGTGAGCTTTTTGTTTGTTTGTCTTTGTTTCTTGGTTATTGGTTATAAAGTCAAATCACATCTTAGTTTATTTAGTACGACTCTGTTCTCCACCTGCACCTTTCACCAAAGGGGCTCCTTAGTGGTCTCACAACCTCTGCCATTCAGCATCATCTCCTTTTCCTTGTCCTCAAATAGGATATTCACACAAAACATCTACAAAAGAGAGAGAAAAACAATGAAGACTCTAGTTCTTTGGTGATGTCTAATTTTTGGCAGTTCTAGTTGTATTCTAGTCTTCCTAACTCCTTAAAGAAAAAGAGAATTGTATCTCCAAAGCTACAGCTGCAGGCTGCAGTCTCCCATGTTCTGCTTAGCAAGCAGTAAAGGCAGCCTGGCCTAGAGTAATCCGTTAACTTGTAGAAACTTGTAATTTGTAGAAATTWTTAGGAAACACATACTCTTCATTTCCAGGCTGTTCCACCCCCCTAAGCACCACAGTTCACAAAAAAGCTACTTATAGATTTAACCTTWCTTCATCCACTTGCCTTTGTCTTGAAAACATTAACCACTAAACGGTCAGGATATGTGACTTAGAAAGATCGAAGCTTATGGATGGGAATAGCACTATAAATTGTTGAATGGATTATAAGCTGCGCCTTATCAAAAGGAAGGCAAAAATGTTGAATAATATCTAGTAAAAATACTAACCTAGCAAATACTTTTTGCAGATGACTTCTTTTAGGTGAAAGGTTGTACTCAGCAGATGAAACAAAATTAAGAGCGTCTGCTTGCTGTGCTTTCAGCTCTTTATTTTTCTCATCAATGAACCATATGTACTTTCTCCCTGTTGTTACTATAATAAAGAAGCACTCTGTTAAATATTAACATTTTCACGTGTTCTGCTGCAGGAGTCTGGGCAAACCAATGAGAGAATCTAGACTGGATCATAAGTCTCTGTTGTGCAAATCAATGAGGTAATCTGGATTGCTTGAATGACAAGCAATCCTTCTTGATTTATGCATTTTAAGAATGCAAGACAGCAAACCTGTCCTGACGCACATCATGAGCCCTGTGTCCCTAAACACTGCACCAAGCCCTAGTAACACAAATKCATTAACTGTGCAGGTACAGGGATCCACCTGAATTCCACCTCTGGACTAGAAACCTCTCACATTCAAACATTTCTGTTTTCAGCAGCATTTAAAAGTAATTTAAAATACCCATGTAAACATTTTTGCTCCAGGTGAAACCTTTAAAGAAACAGCCTCCAGCACAAGTGCATTGTAGCCTGGCTGCCTGTGTTGCCCTGGTTCAACTCTTAGTCACTATGAGATGATACTACATTATGCCCTGAGTAGATACTTAAGATTTTGTGCTTTGTTCCCATGCTTTAGATTTCAGAACCTCTCCATCAAGATTTTGATTATTTATCATTATTATTATGTGGAATTATTATTTGAATTCTCCATTATTATTTTGAGTGGCACTTGCTTTGTATTACTTTTCATTTGCTTGAAAACAATTCTTTGCTCTTTCATAGAGCAGCTGGAGCCACCACGGAGCCACAGCCTCCCAGCAAAGGGGAGCTTTGGAGTTGGAAGATTCTTGGAGCAAGGAGTAGCCTCTGAGCAGACCAGGGCAGCTGAGCACACATAGGCAAGGTGAGMTACAGTGACTGCCCAAGCAGCATAACCTCTCTGTAGTTTGTCCACTTTGCTTTTATGAGAAGAGCTGCAGGCACTTGCTACTGTGGTAGCTGGCAGATCAGGTTCTGCAGTCAGCCTTTTGATTTAACAGTGTAAGGGTAAAGTACTGATTAATAGAGCAATGCTGAACTTACCTGGTCTACAGGGAAGTTTCTTTCATGTAGAAGCCTTGGGGCTTAAGAAAATGATRCCTGCTTGCAGGAAATTCCCTGGCATAAAACTGTGAACTTGAAATTTTATGCAGAAAAATAGAGACAGTGAGTATACACAGCTTGGAGTAGTTGAATTTTCTTAACATCCTTTTTCTAAAGCTTGTATTCAGCATGCAAGTGAACCCACACCCAGGCCCCAACAGAAATTAGAAGGCTCTTGCCACTACCATAAACTTCAGCATGTATACRTCCCTGGCATTAAAACAGTGCAATCTGACAGAAGAACAGTCAAAATCAATGGAGTCACAACCATTTCCATAATATAAGGAGGTGGCCCACACCCACATGGAACTTTATGCACTTTGGGAACACGTCATTTTGATAAAAACCTGTCTCAAACTGGCAGGCCCTCCAGGGCAGAGCTCTCTGGAGATGAACAAGGAAGTTCCTGCTACTGAGGTGAACTCCCGTCACCCCAGCCCTGTAGCTTTGTGGCTAGCCCTTGACAACACAGGCATAGTCCCCTAGAACTGACGTCACCCAATTTCAGTCTAACAAGACAATATGTAAGAGCAAACGTCTTTCTTGCCTAATGCCCTCAGTCAGCTGCTTTTACCATGGAAGTAAAAGTTATGCAGGAAGGAAAATACTGAGCAGATGGATATGTTTACTGGGGAGTTGGACTGTGTGCAGAAGCACCGCTTGCACTATTTCTGGGAACTGGTATAGTCAGGAAAGGATAAAAGCCTATTATAATTAATAACTGCATCAGTCAGCTCAATCATAAGTGACTTTGTCAGGCTCTAAGTGGAAAAATACACATTTTTCAAATTTTTCTATTTCATAATTAATGATACAAAGACATATGAAAATATGGGTTTTATGCCTATGAGATATTTTGCAAAACGCTTATTTCTACTGAACATTTAGGTAAGCACTGAGAAGACATAACCATGCAATGTTAGACTAGCATCTAAAATAAAAGAGATGACAACTGAGAATGATGCACTACTGGCATCTGATGAAATCAAAATTGTTATGAAAGATACTGAATGTTCAAAATATTCATAAACTGGAAAAATTCAGTGGATGCAGAAGAGTCTCTGAAAGAGACTTAGATCTGAAGGATCCCCACCTGAAGAGGACAAAGTCACAAAGATTGCATCCAAAGTGTGTGCTGACCTGACTGTCATTGAGCAGATGCAGAGAAGATGAAACAGCCCTGGTTTGTAGAGAAGCTCCACAGAGCAGCAGGTCCCAGCCCACAACCCTGCTGTCAGAACCAAGATCAAAAAACCCCATTCAAATCTAGTACTGACCTACTACTGTTAGTCCTAAGGTTGCTCCAGAAATCAGCCTTGCTATAAAGTCTTTMAAAGCTTTGTGCTCTTGTGAATATAGATAGGTAATAGGTAAGGAGGGTAAATAACCTGCCCTGCAAGGGCAATAAAATTTTTAGGAGAAAGTATTGAAGCAAAATATAACAAAGAGCCTACTTACATCTCTGTACTTCCTTAATGTTAGCTAACTAGCTTTTATTGTCTGCTGCAGGCAGCATCCTGTGTTCGTAGACTCAATCCTGGCACCGCCAGTCCCCAGGTAGGTCAACTTCTTTATTACAGTAAGGGCTTTACCACAAGGAAGCAACTCCTCTTTCCTTTCAACCACCTGATGAAAATTAACAAATAGAAATTCTTCTGTGTTATCCATGCAGTTTGATTACACGCTGTACTAACTTTATGATTTGATAAACTGGTGAGCTAAGCCAATACCATTGTTAACACACTGATCTAATCTCAGCTGTAATTTTGGTTTGATTATAATATTGTTCATTTTAAGTTTATAACAGTTTAGCCCATATCATGTGAAGTTAATATTTGCTTTTCTCGTTTAAAATAATAAAGTCAGGAAAACACACATACAAGTAGATTACATCTTCATTTTAATAGCCCTTACAGGTTTCTCATAACATAAATTAGGTTTGGGGTTTTTTTTTCTCCTTTTTTTTTTTTAATAAGAAGGCCTTTATTAGGCTAGGTTTCTCCTGTTCAAGAAAGATGAATTCAAATTCATCTGCTGCCATGACCACAGGACAGAGGAGGATACCTTCAGAGAAGGGTAAAAGAGCTTGGTTTGATCAGTAAAGCAAAATGAAGCATGATGGGGATACAGCTTTCCCTTTCATCTGCCACAAACGCAGACAAGAGGAGCTGTGAAGGCCGAGGGCGGCATCAGAACAATATGACCAGTATGATTTTATGTTTGAAAAGAGCAATCCAAAGAGCAAGGCTCTGGGAAAGCTTTTTAAGAGCAGGAGGAAATGCCTGCAAAAAAAATGGGACTGCTCAACAACCATTTCTACATTTCTTGATTTACTATGTTTCTGAAGAACAATTTCTCTTTAGCACTATATTTTTCCTCTTCACTATGTGTCAAGTGCTGTGCACCTGATAATTAGATAAAATAACCATAATAACATAAATCTCCCTGGAGATAATCACAGGAATTGTGATTCTTTTTTATTAACTTGATTTAAAAAAAAAAAAAAAATGCTCTGCTTTGCCACCAAACAAGAATGAAACAGTTTCTTTCCCAGGAAGTAGAAGCAGGTTTTATAAAAGAAGGGGAATATTTTCCTGAATGGTTCGAGTGAGTAGCAACATGATGCAATTCATAAAAATAAGTGCAATTTCATGATTTGCCTCTCATCCTAAACCTTGGCAGGAACAGCACTTCACTGGGAATCTGTAAAAAATATGCAACTGCCATGAATGGAACAAGCAGCTTTAAAAGATACTGCTCAGACTAACCAGTGAATAAGGTTTTTAAGTTGGAAAGACCGATAAGTCTTGAAGTATGATATTTTTTACAATAATAGAAGCGACCACAAGTGCCAYGTGTTCTGTTACATGTTTCTACTTACTGACCGAAAACCATAGGCACAGAGCAGGCATGACACATGACAGTAAAAGAAATTAAGTAAAAGAAATATAGTAATCCCAAGCAATCTGCTATCCTTATATGGGTAGGGAGGTTAAGACTTAAAAACAATTTCAAGAAAATTTCAACAAATTGAACAACAACAAATTGAAATTTTGTTACAATTTTAAGGTCACCACTCACATTTTGACTGACATCAACTCCCCTTACTTTAGTCCATCAGGTTTCAATGCTGATATACTTAACATAACAAAAATTGTCCATTTTTTAATCACATAAAATTAGATTTTGAAATACATGGCTCTGACTTTTATCAAGACTCATTAACTCCCTGTCAATATGGCCCAGGCCTATAACAACCTCTGATTACCTCCCTTCCACCAGCAGCCAGGTCTGTCCTCGAGATGCAGAGCTTAGCTCTGGATACGCTGTGTCCTCTGCTCCATTAGGACTGCTAGATGGGCACTTTAATGGCAGGAATAAATAACTCCTTTTTGCTAGTCAAGCAGAAAGTGGCCAGTGCCAGGTATTTTTTTAGACACTCATTAACAGTGCTGTCTCAAGAYGAGACAATCGAGAGAATTAATTTTGGCCCTCACTAATGGTGCTCTGAAATGGTTTCTGGGCAGTCATATCTAATCAAAGCCGTGGGCTCCCAGCTCTKTCCCAGCAAAACACTGCAAGGGACAGGCCAGGCTTCCCAGCCCTGCCTGCTCAGATAGAACCAGCACAATGCACGTTTCCAGACAGTACCTTCACTTCTGGGATTCATCTGTCCACAATCTCATCCAGCGGAGCGCAGCAGGATAAACCATCTCTAAGGCTCCTGAGATAATTTCTGTGTTGGGAGAAGAAACCACGATACTGCATGTTGGCCAGACCTGGGTAAGCTGAGGAGGACAAAATTGCAGCTAGACATGAGTTAATTGGAATAGGGACAACGAGTGACCTGGGGATTCAGTATGAAATACCTGCAGAAGGATGAAGCCCTGAGAGAGCAACATGGATCCAGAAAACGGCAAGTCCACAAGCCTGAGGCTGCGCCAGTCCCAAGGAGCCAAGCCCTGRCCCATATTAGCAGCTCTGCCAGCTCTCATCCACCTGGGGACACGTGAGTCTCCATTCACACGTGTGGCAATGGAGGAAACAAATAATTGCTTTGTACCCTGAAAGGGGATCTCTGGCTCACAGAGTCTCTTTGTACGCAGTATCAAGCCAAGGGTCACAGAGAAGGGTCACACCACCAATATGCCAAAACCATAGTTCAGAGCAGCTGCCAGTGAGGTGTCTTTCTCCGAGGGGAGGATCACACATGACATGTGAGCTAGGAAGAACCCTGTAGGTGCTTCGCCCYGTGCAGACACATTGCTTCCAGGTGGAAGAAGCAGCAGGTGCTTATTGCAGCAAGAAGCTGGCTGCCGTTGACATCTACTTCTGTGCCATGAAGGACAACCCCAGCAGGACCCCGTCCTTGTAGCCAATAACCAACAGCAGGCAGAGCAGACCAGAAGTGCTGCCCTGGGACCTACTGCTAMACAACAGCCACAGGGTTAAAGCAGAGGTCCCCGCTCAAACACCCTTCATCTTTTGGGGAGCAGCACCCCAATGCGCTTGCTTTAACCATAGGGTTCCCTAACTGACCTACGTGGCTGCGTTTGCAACACAAACCAACAAGCTAAAAGGAAGTAGAAAATAATGTTCAATGTCAGACAGTAGCTGAATCATTGCCTAAAACAACATTAACTAACTGCTCTATAATCTCTCAGTAAACTGGTTTTACCTTTTCACGGACTCGTGGAAATGCCAATAAGATCAGACACAGGAAGCTGAGGAAAGGCACAGGCACAATTATGTCATTCGTTTGACACAGCAGRAGGTAAAATTCAAGAAAGAATGGCAGACATTTTAATCACTTTTCCCTTTCTTCTATCATTTGGAATTGAAAAGTTTAAAATAAATGTTACCTGCAGAAATTCATTGCTAAGCTTTAAGCTTTGCTTGTTCTTTTTGAAAGAGAAATATCTTACTTCCTTTGCAGTTTTACCCTGGCTCAAATTTCTTTCTACTGATATTTTTGGTAGGTTTAAAGCTTTGTTATATCTAAATTTTAAAAGATACACATAGAAAAACATCCATTCATTATCCATCTACTATTGACCCAGTGCAAGCAAGGCCTCTGAGAAAGAAAAAAAAAGTGTCCTCCCCAATCTCCTCACCAGGTTACTCACACTTACAGCCAAATTTCCCCCATCCTGTAGTCCTCATTCCAGGTGCTTCACTACTCCTGCCCACACGGATGTTTCTTTTCTCCCATGCAGCAAGTTGCAGCAGGAGAAGTGCCAAGAGCCCCAAGGAGGTGAGCTCTGCACTRGGGCCCATGTACCCATGAGCTGAACCAGGCTTCATTGCTCTTTAGAGGCCACACACACACAGCATGAGCAGAAATGAGCAAATGAATTTCATGAGGGACACACAAAACAGACAAAATGGAGATTTTTAGCTATTATGATCTAACAAGCTGAGCACATGCACACTGCAGTTTTATCAACACTTTCTAGCATACACGAGAGCATCAGAATGGCTGTCCCTGMTCCAAAAGCCACACCATCACTAAGTCATTATTCCAAGCCTCAGGAAACAAGAATTAAAAACCAAGATCTCTTTCATTAACTTAAGCTTTGGAGAGGATTGTGCCTTTTGCTCACAGGTTGTGCCTGTTTTTCACTACAATGTAGCTGGAATTTAACAGTGACRATAGAAAACTTGAGCCCCAACACTTGAAATCTGGCCAAGTCCCACCTGACTGAAGGCCAGCCCTGATGAGCAGCCTAATGAGCTCCGCTCAGGGCCCCTTCCTTGTGTCCCTGGTGCGGGTGCATTAGCTCTACTGTACTGGAGCCATTTTTCATGCAAGGTTATAAAAAGAACCTGTATTTTTGTAGATTATTTTTATGCATTAAAATTACAGCCACTTAGAGTATCACACATTCACTTGGTGGAAGGACTTTAAAGGAGCTTCACAAATATTTAATCAGTTGGGCCTGCAGCATGACTGCGTTTGTCTCATGCTGTAGCGAGCTAATAGCCACGCTCAGAGGTTGCAGGAGTTAACTCCTTACTGGAAAAGCAGCCAGTATCTGCCCACCTTCAGCTGATGGTTCCTCCTGGGACTGTGCATCAACTCAAGTGCACCCGGGGCTTTTGAGAGATCTGCCCCAGCCAGGCTGTTTCACTGCCTTTCTGAAAGGGCTTTTGACATAATGCTACTTTAAAGCACCAAAATAATTGCTGTGCCAAGTTAGCATTTGCTGTAACACATACACCARAACTTAAAGCCCACAGACTATGTGTAATACACAGTGTATTTGTTCCTTTTACTCTTTTTTTTTCCTCATTATGTTAAAGCTGCCCAAAAGCAGATCAGAAGCAGTTGTAGTACTACACTGTGTTCCTGAAACAGCTTTTGTAGGTCAGGCATTTCCAGAAACGCCTGTTTACAGGCGGTACTTCCAGCAACGGGGAGGTAATTAGTTGTGCGGCTTGCTGGTATCGAGTTTCCCCTCTTGTTCAGCCTTAATTAGACTGCAGAATATGGCTGTGTGCATACTTGCATTAATGTTGCTGGAAATGACAGCTCTTCCAAGCTCTCTTAGGCCTTTCAGCAAGGCGGCAGTGTGCTACCGCCGTGCAACACCGAGCGCAGGACACCGAGAGCTGCCAGGCTCTGCGATAAAGGAGACCTTCTTCTCTTTCAATCTCAGCCTTGTCCAGCATCACACAGGGATGCCTGGCCATTTTCCAAGAACTTGGGTCACAGACTCTCTCTGAATGGACCCAAGTAGCTGAACTACTACAGAGCCTTGTGCCATAATGAAGCTGCTCTCACACATACCTGTTTAAAGCATTATTACTCAATGCAAAATAATATTCAAAAATATTTGTCTGAACACATATATGAAACGTGTTGGCCTTGGAATTTTTTTCTTCCTTCCAGTACAAAATTTAAGAGAAAAATACAATAGAGGAAAAGAAAGCAGATAAAGTCAGTTCCRGGACAAAGCCCTCCAAATTCCTGGCAGGAAGAGCCAAATTTCACCCTCCTGCTCATTTATTTATAGTAATTACCTCAAACGTGGACTTTCATCATTAAAACGTAACAGCATGAATATGTACGTGTGCACTAGCAAATCCCCATCAAAAAGTAAATGCACAAGATGCCAGGTACCTTATCTCTCCTCTTCAGTTACCTCGTGACTTATCATGGTTGACATTTCTGTAAGGCTATAGCAGCAGATCCGAGCCTCAACATTCATGAGGAGAAGAGGCAATACAGCAGCTCTGATGTCAATAGAAAGTCAGTCTGTCTGCTTCATTTAGATGGAACTTAATTGCAGGAACTGCATTAATAGTCAACACCAGCCATCTGTTTAAACATGTGTGTTTTGAAAAGAATTGCCACGTACAATAAACACACTCATTGTAATGACTCATATCTGTTTATGTGAAATGAGGATTTGGCAATTTCCCCTCACAGAAACATCAAATTACAGGTTAAAAGCAGTTTTACGTCAAATTCTCACATTTCTAGGGCAGATCTGATAGTCAGGCAGTTACAGGGCTGCCTGGGAAGTATTTCTTAGCTGTGGGGCTACCCAGTCAATCCATTTCCTTAAACTTCCCCAAAGAGCCCATTAGGGAAGTCAAAGCTGAACCAAGAAACACCTGCAGCCCTGGAGTTCAGCGGCAGGGATGTATTCCAGAATATGCTGGAATTAACCCTGCGCCAGGGGGCACACAGAGGCTTCTGTGGGGCTGCTGCARTGGGCAGCGCCCTTGCAGCGAGGCCAGCAGTGCTGGCATCCACTGGCTGCAAACACGGCGCGGGCAGCGGCGCCACGCTCGGCTCCAGGCTCTCACYGGGCACAGGGCAACGCTGCTGCCCCCAGCCAGCAGGGCTGGGGGGCATCGGATGCCACACACAAACACTTGGGCAACCGCACTGGACAAGTCAGCAATACACAACCTGCCTCTTTTTTGTCTCAGGAATCCAACAAAAAACTCCCAAAGTTTTCATCCTTCACTTTTCCTACCTAAATGCATAGTAGATGTTTTTTAAAGAGTGAAGCAATATGCTGTTCATTATCATTYGTTGTATAATTTCTAGGTAAGCATTGTTAAATTAGTAATAGCAACGCACCGATGCCTGGACTTAYTCAGCAGCAGCATAAATTATGAATAGGCTGGTTCTGTGCACAGCGAGCAGGAGGCAGCGCCGGGCTGCGTGCTTCCCACTCACGTGGACGGCRGGGGCTCTCCTTACATTTGCCACACATGAATATACACAATATTTATGGGTGCCAGTACAGAGAGAGGCTCAGGAACCAGAGGGAAAACGACAAGAGAAACATATGGTGAAGGCACAGGGTAAATCAGCAACTCCGTCATCCTTCCTCATCTGGAGGGTAGCTTGACATCCATATGGTCCTGCCTTTTTTCTTATTAAGTTTAGATTAAACAGTTCTAAATTCATTGAAGATATAAGCAGGCCTTGCTTTATTTCCTAACTTTGCTTTTGCAAGAACCACCGATTCCAATGAGGTGTAATGTTTCCTCACATAACGGGGTCAGTAATTATATTTTAAGATGTACTTCAGTATCAGTAGTTTCCCCATTAAATATTTTCTGTCTCATCTTCCCAGTGGAGTCTTATTTAGTGTACAGATTTCTGGTATTCTTGTGTATTAATGTGGTCATTCCATACAGGAAATCCGCAGGTCTCGAGTGGCGTGATGTGGATTTCCTTACGATGCATCCCTTAGGTAGCAACCTTCTTCCCCAATAGCTGTTTTATAAAACTGTTTCCAAGCATTTTATGTTTTATTTCAAGGTTCGAGTCTCCCTTCAACAGACCTTGATTTTCATCGCTGTGGCTATTGCTTCATCACAGCTTCATACATACTCCTTCGGAGACCTAGGGCATGTACAACTGCTTCTGCCATCTCCTGTTACAGAAATACTTGTAACTACCACTAACCCATTTGTGCTTGCTCTAAAAGCACGTGCATGGCAGCTGTAGGCTGGATATTCTTGAGA